ACGTCCACCGCGGTACAAAATAATTGAATCGTATGCGTAACAATATGAACTCAGCAGTTTTGAAACTTTTATTACGCCTAATTTTTTCATTTTTATATTGCATTTTGTAGTATTTTTTAACTTTTACTAATAAATAGTTATAATCAGGATTCGTAACTTACAGTGCATTTAATCTAAAAGAAGATCGTTACAAACGTAACATTACAATATTTTGTTAAAACTTTTCCAACATTTTTATCGAATGTGGAAAACCAAAATTAATAATTATTGGTTACAATTTAGTTAATTCTTATTTGATAGGAAAGTGAAATAATCGAATAGACCCCTTAAAACACAAAAGTAGCAAAATAACTCTGGAATTTCGAAGTCTGACTTTGCAAATAGGCAATATAAAATGTTGTATTTTACTTTTTAGTTATCTGAAACAAATGTATTGCTCATATTATAAAAATTATCAAAAAAAATATATATATAAATACTAAAATATAGTTACGATCACAGGTGGTATAATAATCAAAAATACGTCCTAGGATAATGGAGTCGGGTGTAGCCACTGTTATAAATAATTTGATGTACCTGTAAGCAATGATAAAACAATTCTGAGCGGAGTTCAGTTGATAGTGATGCTTTGTCAACAATATATATGTCATATTATGGTATAATAATTAAATAGGCATTATATATTTTCGTTAATAATATTTATTAAATATTGTACTGATTTTCCCGTTTTTCCTCCGTTTTTTTTTTTTTGTTTTTCATATTTGTTGATAAAACTCCTGGGAAAATTGAAAAACAACCTCTCTAAAGTCAGATTTCTTTTTAGAAAAAGTGCTATCATTGCACTAATAATATTGGTGGTAGAAAAGTTATCCACAGAAAATAAAATTATAGTATTTTATTTTACTAATATATTTTGTACATTTACACAGTTTTTTTTAGGTTTTCACATCTGATGAAAAAACTTCTGAGAAAACCGAAAAACGACCTGCATAAAGTACCACCCAAGAAAATTTCCTTTCAAAGAAGAGTCTACATCGTATATACCGGAGTTAATTTTCTGGTAGAAAAAGTGTTCACACATAAAAAAAAAAAAAGAATAAACATCGTAAAACCAATATAATCACCAAATAAAACTCCTCTTAGAATCTAAAAACAATAATGAATTTTATAAGAATCATAGTGTAAGGCTCTCGTAAATAGGTATTTAAAAAAAAAGACAAAGTTTCAAATTATATTGAACAAAATATAAGTTATTGTATTTGTCATATCACCATTGGACACTTTATAATGTTACATATTTTATAATTATAATGTACCGGCATGTGTATGTGTTTGACTTGTCGGCAACAACTCGTCGTTCGTTGTACGTGACGTATTTAAAATATTAGAAAAATAAAAAAAAAAATAGAAAAATAATAATATTTCTTATAATAGTATATAAAACACGTATACTTGTAACGGAGGACTGCTGCAGGTGTTGAAGGCGCCGAGTTCGAGGGGAGTCGAAGCATGCGGCACGTCAATAAACCTCGAGAATTTTTGTAAATTGTAGTATAATATTATGTATAATACGGTTTCGATTTAATTTTTTTAGATAATTAAAATAAACGGTTATTTAAATTATTACAGCACACAAACCTATGCTCAAAACGGACGTAACAGGTGCAAGATGTTAGAAAATATTCTAAATATAATTATAAATAACTATTATTATTTTTTTGAAAACCGGAAAATAATATACGATTTTGATTAGAAAACGTTTAGTAAGAAAACAAAATAAAAAAATAAAAAATGTTACAGTTGGATTCAGGACGTTTTGTCTCCCCGACCGTAAAACGTGTAAACACACACACCGAGTATTCAAATATAGAACATATTATTCATGTATAAAGCAAACACGGGGGCGCTATAGTTAAAATAATTGATGTATCTGTATTCGGAGCCGGCGCTAGAGGAGGACAAATGGGACATAAGTCCAGGGTCCCGCGCTTGTTTGCGAAATTAACGAGCCCCGCGGTAAATTATATCATATAGGTGTACAATCATTATAAGTTAGGTGTACAAAAGCATTGTCTAAGGTCTCAAAAAAACATGCACCGGCACTGTCTGTATTCTGAAACAGTTGGTTTAGAATTCAATCTTGTAATACACATTCAGTATTGAGACGCGAATTAAAAGAATGTATACATGTATTTAGAAAAAAATAAAATATAATAAAATTGTGCCAAAATCATTTGGATACGGTAAAGGATAGCAAAAATATCAATCGTCCCGAATAAGATAAAAGATAAGTGGAATTTATCTAGATTTAAAAACTAAAGAAGACAATTATTTTTAAACCATCGTTTTATTATCGAGAACATTATAGCAGGGAGATAAACATTGTATTAAACCGTTAAAATAATTCTGAAACCGCAAAGGGTGTAAATCACGAACGTTATGTAACTTCAAATTTTCAACCAAAAATAAACCTTAACAGTTTTTTATTTTAATATTTCCTGTTATGGAGAGAAAATTGTATTATCGGGTATTATTATTTTCTTTTGGTATATTAATTTATCCATAGATAATTATAAAATATATATGGTTTTTGTCTTAGATAACTTTGAAATATATAAATTTTCATCTAGATAAGATAAAAAGTAAAAACATAGCTATAATTTGCCAACTTAAAAATGTATAATCAATTATATTTTCGGGATCATGACAAATATAATATTTATTAATAATATTTTTAATAGTTCTTCGTAGCATGAGTGTATATAGATGTAAATTTGACGAAATAGAGTGTTGTTATTCATTTGGTTTTTGGTCTTTAAGCCTTTCTCTAATGGTCTGATGTATACAATTGATTGATAACGAGGAAATAAAGAAAATGAAAAAATAGTATTTTATTTGAATTCAAAATATTATAAAGGCTTATGATCAGTATAATATCCATACAATTGAAATATTTAAAAGTAAAAGGTGATAGATTGATTAGGTATTTTAAAATAATTAATTCTTTAATTCTATGATTTTATTTATTTAAATATATTTTGTTAGGAATAATAATCTACAGTTTAGATAAAACGACAACGTTGCAGAAGAATTCGTACGCAATCGTGTTGAATTTATTTATTTTTTCGAGTACCCATTCATAAGTATTCTTTAATCTATCGTAAAACATACGCAATCGTGTTCTATCCGTTTACAGATAGAAAAAAAAAAAACCAAGACGGTGACCAAAATCGTGATTTTTTAACAATGTTACACAGATATAAAAGTTATCAAAGGAACATGAACCAGTTTCCCTCAACTGATACATCGTGATATTGCGGTATACACGATCATAATATACACCTGCCGTAAAATAAGGGAGGTAAATTTTTAAGCAAATTCCCTTTTTTTTTTTTTATTCTTATAAATTAATAAATACAATATTTTCAATATTTTTAAAAAGTAATTCGTTCCTTTGTCATTCCTTTGAAAAATGAAGTGCTCATTTCTCGTTCCAAATTAAAAAGAAAAAAAAAAACAAAACCAAGAAAAAAATCCACTGTTATATTTGGAAAATATGAACGGTATAAGACGCAAGGTAGTTTAAATTTTTATTTGTATACTGAAAGCAACAATATTTCATTACAATCAAAAAAAAAAAAAAATTTCATTTCATGTGCTTTTCCTTTGATAACTTGTTCCTTCCAAACACTAAATACTTTAACGACAATAATAATTGAGTTGCGTTGTATTTTGTCGAAAAAAAATTTAAAAAATTGAAATAGTGAAAACTTCGCAAAGATGACGACAATAATACGCGTATTGCGATAAAGTCTAATTTGTCGTTGTTATAGGTACGGCTATCGGCTACAAACGTGAATCATTACTTGTCGTTATTTATCGTTGTTTATTGTTGTCCAAAACTACGCGTTCCGGCGAAATTCGCCCCCTTCCGTACCGCGTCGGCGGAATATTGTATACGCGCTATTTTATTCGGCCGAGCGCGAGTGGGTTATGTCGTTGGTTCGACGCCGAAATCGGCCGCCGGGGAGGATGGGGGGGGGGGGGGGGGGTGGGTGGATGGGTGGTCGACGCCCCGTCAAAGGGGAAGATCAAGGCCCCGGGGGCCTCGAATCAAACGGCGGATTGAGGGCGCGCTTCTCGCGACCCGGCGCGGAACCGGAATCGCGGCAGTGTCAACGGTCAACGGTCAACCTCGTCCGTCGTCGAGCGTTTCGCGATTCGCAGCGCTCTGCGCAACCGGTACGCCTATGCGCCGCCGTGCGATAACGCGCGGCGCGTACAACGATGCGTCGCGCGGCGCTCGTCGCGAGTGCCGGCCGCCGCCGTTCGGTCACCGTGCGTTTCGTGCGCGACACGGGTTTCTGCCGTGCGCGCGCGCGGTTACGTTACGCTGTGCACCTGGCCGCCGCGGAGTACGTGCGCGCGTACGGGGAGCGCCTACGTGTGTGTGTGTGTAAGAAACGGCGCGCGTACGGTGCACGCACAAGACGCGCAGGTGACTTTATAACGCGACGTCGCGGGCACCCCGGCGACAGGTGTCGCTTGTGCGTGGACGACTGCGGGCGGGCGGGCGCGTGTCTGCAGCCGCCGACTTCCAAAAGACGTTATAATGTTGTTGTTATTACCGCTGCGCGCCCGCGTAGCGTGCGCACGGCATGTACGTGCGCGCGCGCATACACTTGCGGCGCGGCGAACGACCGCTTTGGCGATTACGTAATTTCGGTTCGAAAAGAGAAAAGAAAAGGCAAGTGGGAACAACACCCGTCGTTCCGTTTTCGTATGTGCACGCGCGCGTGTGTATGATGCACACGCGTACGCGTTTGTGTGACTCCGACAACGGGGTGAAATCGGTTGCGAGAAGGCGGGAACGGCGGACGGGAGGAAGGAAGGAAGGCGATACGATGTGAATACACAAAAGTAATGTTTGCAGTCATTAAAAATATATGTATATTATGTTATACGGTTCAAAATCAATTTTTTTTTTTTTCTTGTTTCTTGTCGATTAAACGCACAAAAATGTACCGCGTGTAATATATTTAAAAAAAAAAAAAAAAATTGTTTAAAATGGTATATAATATTGTATGATTTAGTAAAAGAGTGTGTGTGGTTTTTTTTTTTTTGTTATTATTATTATTATTTTTTTTATCTTCACTGTGCGTGATTTTCGGCAACGTGCGTGGCCCAAAATGTAATATACCTAACGTTATAGTGACAATGACAAAAAATTTTCTTCGGTGGTGTTTGTACAATAATGTTGAATAACGTAGTACAATGATTAATAAACGATAAAATTAAAAAAAAAGAAAAAAAAAAAAAGTAAATTTGCACATAATAAAAACGTAGTATATAATATATACATAAGATACAATACAATAATTTTGAACGACTAAACTAAAAAATAAATAAATAAAATATAAATAATAAATCGCAGTGAAAGGAACTATTACAATAATAATATATTATATTAAATAAATAAATTGACGATTGCATATTATAATAATATGTATAATATAAATATAATAATATATAATTTATATAACTCTGTATATGGGCACAACAAACATTGTAAGTATACAAAACTGTATATTATTTGTATTTTTAACAATTTTTTTTTTTTTTTTTTTTTTTTTTATGACGTCCTTAAAACTATGATATTGCGATTACAAGATTGCATTATAATATTATTGCGTGCGTGCGTACGTGTGTGTGTGTGTGTTTGTGTGTTTGTGTGTGTGTGTGTGTTTACAATATAACGTGCTACATTCGATTTCGTCGATTCTATAAAAGTATAATATATATAAAAAAAAAAAAAGTAACAATAATCGTATATAAAAGATTATTAAGATGGCCGAAAACGCGATTTTTGTAGCGGAAACAAATAGTTATACGCTGCAATAGGTACTCAGGGCGCGCAATCGGGGAAGAGGGTACATTAGAGGGACGGTCGAGGAGGCTTAGTACTCCCGTTAGTGGCGGACGAATAATCGTGTCACAAGGGGTGAGGTGAGGTATGAATTTTTAACAATTATTATTGTTAAAATTTTTTTTTGAAAAAATTAACAAATATAATATCATACTATAATATCGGGCGAGCGGCCCGATAGGCGACGCGATGCGTGTTATCGAAAGTGAATACCGCGCTGCGTGGGATCTTTTCTCGGGGGAAATTCTGCAGAGAAAGCTCCCCCGGCCCGATAAAAAACAACGCTGTTCGGGTCTAAGTCACGCCTATGCGATAAATACTATTGTTGTCCCGCCGAACGGACGCCTCACACAACTGCGGATGTGCGCGCGTTAGGACACGCGCCGGTCACCAATCCCCGTGTGTTTCTCCGCGGGAATTTTCTCGGCACGCGCGCAAAACCGCAGCGTGTACCCGCGTCCGGCTCGCTGTCCGTCCGCCTCGACAAAGCACACGCCGGAATAATTTAATGCACGCGTTACGCGCGTGAGCACGTCCGCGACAACTGTTCTGATCACGGGACGGCGCACATGTTTACCGCAGTCCGGTCATAATAAATCTACGCGCCGATAATAACGGTTTTTTTTTTTTCGTACGAAAAACGACCGGTGAATATTTTTTTAAAAAAAAAAAAAAAAAAATAATAGAAAAAACTCGTATCAATTTATTATTATACAGGTTATAATATTCCGACGACGGCACGTTACACGTAACGTTATTATTACGCGTATCCCGGGAGACAATAGCGGGCGGCTGCGACGGCGGCGGCGGCGGTGGACAATAATATTATCTAAACGTTTCACCGCCGGACGCCGCCGCTCACTGTTGCAGGTGTAATAATAATAAGTATAATAATATGTAAATATATTTATAGGTGCACGCGAGAAAATCGAACCGAAAAACATAATATATGTGTGTGTGTGTGTATAATTATTATTCATTATGCGAGTAAAATCCGGTATCCGCGCGATGATATTGTATAGCTAGTTAGGGGGGGGGGGTTGAGGGGGTGGCGCGGAATGCGGGACAGAACGCAGGGGAGCCGAGGTATAAGAAGCTGTATAACGTATTTATATTCACTGAAAAATCGGGGTTTTAATTCGATTATTCGATCCATGCACCTACTCCCTGATACCCGGGGCGACATAATACGAGTGCGTTCTATAAATATACTAAATTAATAATAACCGTAAACAATAAGGAAGAGAACACGTGAAAATTGTGATCGTCGATCAACGAACATAGATTATGTTTTAAACAGAATACAGATTATTTTTTTACGCGTAAACTTAACACATATATGGGTAAAACGCGCGGCCCCGATTCGCAGTCCCACTCAGTCGCTGTGCCTGTCTCGTTTTACCACGACGTTCACACTTCCCTGCGGCCGCTGTTGATAAACAACCGTAATTTCGAAAATTCGTAACATTGTCTTTCAAATACGTATATTATTCGTTTTTTTTTTTTCCCGCGCAGCCTTTTTAATATTAATACTATATGTTATACTTAAATATCTATATTATACTATTAGATTTTTGGGAAAGGGGGAGGGTTCAGAATAGTACACTATAATGCGTACACCTCTATGTAAAAAAACAAATTTATAAGAGGCTACATGATTACATTCACACTAGAATCGTTTGGTAAGCATATATTTATGGACGGACTAGACGCTACACGCACGTGCATAATAATATATTGTACGATTATTGTTATACTTATAGAGAGTATTTTCGTTTATCCGTTCGGTCGTCGTCAATAAAATATCGTTTTTGATTTTCGTTTTTTTTTTTTTTTTTTACCGTAATCTTTTTGGACAATTTTTTTGGTTTTGTACAGGTACGAACGTCGCTCAACTGCGAACTATCGAACGCGCCGACACATTTGTTTGCGAAACACCGAATGCATCACAGGCGTGATAATAACATAGTAATCCGCATGGTATTATATTTTCGATAAACTCGTCGCAATTCTTATCGCGGGGGATATAGATGCTCGATAATAATATAGACACGAGATAAATAATATCGACCGGGAACGAATGAATAATCGCGGTAAGGGAAGTGGTGATCATTATATTATATAATACGAGTAAATACGAACTCTCGGGCCGGCTGTTTTGCCGATGACCAGATAATCTCCATATTATACAAACGTCAGGTATTTAATATCATAGTGATGTACATAAGAGCAACTAGGGGGTTCTGGGTTTTTTTTTAACATCTCCGAGTTTAAAATTAGCAACCCCCCTCAAAAAAAAATCCCCATCAGCTTTTTCAAAGTAACGACTAATTAATATTTTACTCGTGTATTATTCACGGTTAATGAGCAGAACAAAATACAGATTTCCTATACAGACAATGACGTGTGTATGAAAAATAATGTTGAAGTAATATTTATGATTAATTTGTGCATAGAAAAATTGTAAACGAAATTGTAGGGGCGTAGTCTCCGTGGGCATTTGACGCGTCCATGATTTCAGCACCGCCAAAGTTGGTGGTCAGGTTACAACTATGGTGATGTAGTACACTATTTACTACTCAGCAGTAGCGTAGCCAAGATTTGTCAAGGGGTTTAAGGGGGCCTAAAAGCTAACCTAAAGCTGAAAAAAAATACAATAGGGTTGGCACGCCACTGTTCCTCATGTTGATATAATAAAACAGTGACGTTTCGTAAATGCACGATAACATTAGGGCTGCCATTCGTTCAATTATTCGTCAATCTTCGGCCGGGTCCGTTGATATCGGTTTCCTAAAATAATGCTAAGGGTCTTGAAAAATTTCAGTTTTACCAAAAAATAATCGAATTTAGTTTCGATATTCACATTTCGGGTTCCAGGCGTTATAAATAATCACAACTATCAAGTACTTTCAAACCTTAAGCTTAAACTTTCAAGCCTTAATTTGACAATTAGAGTGGGAGGGACTATTTTCTAAAATTGAATGTCCCGGTTATTATTCTGATATAAATGGCAGTCCTAAATAATTATCACGCTATCGTATTCGTCATGACAACCAATCGGTCGTTTCGGCTCGTTATATATGATCTAGTCTATAAGGATTTCCGGTGTAACCACGAATATTGACCCCCGTGCTGTTTACCACTCCGCGGTAAAATTTAACTAGAGAAATTACATTATATCCCCTGGGTAAACTATGGCGGCGAGGGGTTTATTTCATCGGGGTTATTGTAACGCCGGTTTTTTTTTCAGAATTAGTTTTTTTTTTAAATGTATATTAAATGAATATATCGTTTTCTGTACCACCGCCATAATACGAAAAACCCGCATAACTATTAGTGTCCCGTAAAACGGACGTAATTCCTACGGGGGGACGATTATTCATCTCATGTCTATGTTGCGGACTAATTTTGAAAATTGGAAAATGTCAAATGTTCGTTTGATAGATCCAATTTTGTGCTGTTGAATTGGGTTACTATCAGACACTTAAAGGCAAGAACACATTGTACGATTTTCACGTCGGTAAGCACGTTTCCAGGTGTTTGTACGTGGGCCTTTTTGTTTTTCGCCGATATTTCGATTTTCAAGCGGAAAATCGATGAAATTCACACGCTCGCATGTCGCTTGAAAATTAAAATATCGACGAACGACTACGCGCGCGGACACGGATCGCCTTACGCTTTGAGTTTGACGGTTTACAGCCGACCCACCGTGATGCATTGAGATTGACGGCACGAAATCGGATTTACTCAATGAAAATTCGACATTGTCCGGTTTTTTACCGTCCACGTCGATGCGCGGAAAACGCCGTGGCGAATTCGCCCCTATCGTCCGGATCGGCGTTTCGGCAACGGTCGCCCGCGAAAACTCCACCTCGTCCGCAGTAACAATAACAATACTGTTATATTATAAAACGTGTTCGGACGAGAGACGCTCCCGCGTTATAACGATAATATCAACGGCAATGGACGGTTATCGTCCAGTCGGTGTGTAGTAAAAAAATATTTAAAAAAAAAAAAAAAACCGAAAATAAAAGACAACGACCGAATTGACAATGTTATCATTGATATTCCGCGCGACGTTCCCCGGTCGTCGCATTAATTATTATCGGTCGCTATTGTTTTACCTATAATATTCGTAATTAACAATATATTATTATCGTGACGTGATGTTACGGCGGTGCGCGACGGACCGCGACATCGCGGCCGCCGGCACTGCGCCGCCGGACGGGAACGACGCGGTCCTCCGGCGCGGCCGCCACTAGCTGCTGCTGCTGCTGCCGCCGCCGCCGCCGCCGCCGACGATGGCCGCGACACTGCTGCCGCCGCGGGTGGACCCGGCCGCCTGGACGACGGGAGCGACAGCGGCGGTGGCGGCGGCCGGCCCGTCGGCCACCGCGGCCGTCGTACTGCTGATGTGATACTGTTGGGCCGGCGACCCGGGGTGCTGGCTCTCGCGATGCCTGCGCAGGTCCACCTTCCGCTGGAACGCCTTGTCGCACAGTCCGCACGGGAACGGCTTGTAGCCCGAGTGCTTGCGCAGGTGCGTAATCAGGTTGGACGACTGGCTGAACGCCTTGCAGCACACCACGCACTTGTGCGGTTTCTCGCCTGTTCGACGACGTGGAGAAGGCCAACGAAAAAAAAAACGTAAGTATTTTTTTTTTTTCTATATAATATAATTGCAGTGCGATCGTAATATACGTATATGTTTGTAACATAATAATAATAATACGTGTGCACGCGTATTATATAACGCCAGAGGGTTAAAATAGGGGTGAACACATATACACACATATATATATATATATATATATATAGAGCTCACACCCCCCTGTAAATTTCGTTGTTTTAAAATTGTACGCCACGTCAAATATAACGAAAATAAAAACCCGTTTTTTGTTTTTATCTGTAAAATGGCGCGTTTTATCAACTTGAAAATATTCTGTCGATAGTGAATATTATCCCTGTACAGCCCCGTGAAGTCATTTTCGTCCATGAAAACGGCCGTCTTGTCTTTACACGGAGACATTTCGGAAAATCGGCTCCGGGGGTCCCCTCCCTCATTACACAATATCACAATATTATATTATTATTAGTCGTCATCTCAGCCAATCCCCCCACTCCCCCACCCCCCGGTAACATCATGGCGTTACATATTATTGTATGCACTTTTTTTCTACTATTATGCAGGTACGCTGCATACAAGAGTTGTTCCAAAACATGTATATTTCTCTCGCCGATATACAAGACAGATTTCAAAACGTGTGTATTTAACGCCTTTTCACGGACCGCGTATTACACTAATGATTCCACTGTGTCCACAATAACAATTACGTTTTCGATAAAACGCATACAGTAATATAACGACGGTCTAAATGTGAAGCCACACATGTTTTGGGCGTAAATGGCCAATGAAAAACGCTTAGGGGAGCAAACGAGACGCTCACACAAACGTCCTCGGCCGTCTCCCCCTATCATATTTCCAACGGTGGCGGTTCGTCCGAAGTACTAGGCAATCTTATAATGCGGGTGCACGTGAAAGGGGTGTCGATGTTTCAGAATGTGTTCCGACGACGAACGATTCGATATACGGCGACAAGCGTATGTGCATGATATTAAAAAAGTGGTTGGAAGTACTCCATGACGTGTTGTGCTGTGTATTGTTTAACGGATTTGTTGTGTTTTAATGTTCAAAATATGCCTGCTTTTTTTATTCTCAATCAATTTATAGAATAAAAACTGCCCGTTAATTTCAATAACTTTTCCGTGACTTAACGTTATTGACTCTAGATTCAGGAAACATAACTTAAATGTTTGCTTAACTTTTTTTTTTTACACACGGTGCATTTTAAAATGTGTCTTATATAGTTTAAGTTATCGCAGTATGGCGACAGAACTTGAAACTCGTGAAAAACGAAAAAATCATGACCTTTACAAAAATCCATATTGAAATAACGCGTTCATATATTGGAAAAATTGACTTGACACTATTTACACGAAAAATAGAGATTTATTAGGGTTTTTATCGGTATAAATAACTCATTTTTCACAATTTGGTGACTTAACACCTTTTTTACCGGCACCTGCGATATATAAATATGAAATATTGTCTGTTTGTCCACTATATATTATAAACCTACAATTTTGTTCCGACTTCGATGATGGCAGCACAATATTACACACTAGTCAGTCAAAACAAGAGGAATGTCGCTATGTTTGTTATTCATCATGAAATTTAACATCAATTAAGTAATAAGGGTAGTTCATAATTTTGTTTCGATATTCTATAAAATAAACAAAAAAAAAAAAACGTTTTCGAAATAAATAAAACCAAAATGGGCGCGCAACTGTTTTTGCCGGAAAGTCGGCATAAATCGTTGGATGACGAAATACGGTTCTGAACAAAATACGGTTACGTTTCGAAATGTCGCGACGTGTCGTGATTTTCGTCAAAATTTTAACCCTACTTACCGAAAATAAAGCAGTTCGCTACTGAGTGTCGGTAAAAAAATCGAAAAAAATAAATGCCGCGTTACTTCCAACCGCTATTTTAATATCATACCTATACGTTTGTGGCCATACATCGAATCGCTCGCCGTCGAACACAATAAAAATATTAAGGACTATAAATTAAATAACGACACCGTCACGGTTATGTGTACTTTACGCGTGCATAATAATATTACAATATACCTAATAATATACCGCGAGTACAGGCTATGCAGTTATTGACACATGGCTCCACGGCTCAACAGCTGTACATAGAAAGTGTACAACTGTTGAACTGATGTGTGGTGCCTTTATACCAGATAATATGTAATGCAGTATATTTTAGTACAGCGGTTTAAAAGTAGGTATCACGCGTCATAATACGTATACTTACACAGTTGCCCCTATCGATAATATTGTAATTTATTTAGGTAGCCATGGGAAAAATCCGGATTTGTTGACGTCCGAGTAAATCCGAAATCCGAAATTTTAATTCTGTAGATCCCTCGAAAATCGGCGTATTTCGCTTCGTTTGCGCGGTTTTAGATTCTGAGTGGGTCGAAGAAGTCTATGGTCTAATACAATGGTGTTTATTTTTTCAATTTTTTTTTTTTCTGTAGACAAACTTTTCTACCAGAAATCTTGTTCCGGTTTCTAAGCGTAACGCCTTTTCCAAAAGGAAATCGGACTGGAGAAGTCATTTATTGGTTTTTTTTAGGAGTTTTCCTAATAAATGAGAAAATTCGGGGAAAAACACGGGAAAACCGGGAAAAACGGGAAAATAGGTACAATATTATTAAAATTGTATTAAAGAATATATATAATACATATTATGTAATTATTTTACCATAGTATGACATAGACATTGTTGACAAAGCAACACTAGCAACTGAACTACGCTCAGAATCGTTCTTACGTTAGGGATAATTTTAATTGTTGCTAACAAATATACATTAAATTTTCCCTCTTCCCAACTTTTTTTTTTTATAATAATACAAATAACGTTTGAAACGCTGCGACGACTTTCATATGTGATCTTTTGTTGGACTTACTCCCCAGAGACTTTTTCACTGTGTCTTTTTCCCGCTACTTTTGGACACTTCTACTAGTGACTTATTTGGTCCGGAGGGAGTTCAAACTCCGTGGGTGCGGAGAATAGTACAATTTTAATAAATAGTCGAGTTTCCCTTGGGTTCAAAAAAGTGTAATGCTCGAACAAACTCAAAGGATGGTTTTTAATGATATATAATATTATAAAAAATTAATTTTAATCTCGCCAACGATTATAAATAATAAATATGAAGTGAAATTTTCTTTTTCTTCTATTCTATTATTTTTATAAAACATTAAAATTAAGTTTTTTTGGTTTGAATATTTTTGTTGAAATGTATTTTTGGCCTAAGTGTAGTTTGACTATTACCTACGTGTAACTTGAATGCAAATCGACCATAACCTTTTTTTTATTTTTCTAACCAAAGTAATTAATGCGTTCTAAAAATTAGATTAAATTTCAATATTAATGTTGTTTTTTTAGTTTTGAACACCCCTACAGATACAGAACCGTCCTGGTAAACGAAGTCAGGAGGATGATATTTTATATAAGTATGCATGACATTAATACTATAATCGAGGACGTGTGCCTTTTGGGGGTTTCAACTTTAACATCCACCCCTGTCATTTGTATGCTCATATTTCACCGTTAATTTGAAAGTGTTATTATTATTAATATTATTATCACCAGTGCTATGTAAAAACCTTTTAAGAACATTTCATTTTTCAAAATGGCAAATAGCAATTTTAACATTAAAAAAAAAAAAAAAAAAAATACTCGTGAATAGCAAAACTCATGTCACTATAATTGAATTCCCTCCTCCCTCCTACATATCTTTATTACAGAAATATTCTTTGTAATATAATAAATAATGGAATACCAACTATACCATATTAGAATATTATACTATAAAGTATATACTATACCACCGATATACTACTTACAATCAAATGATGGAATTTAGAGGTCAATGGGATTGAAAATTGTAACCCTCCAATGAACATCCTTGATACTATTGCAATACATACACGGACCGGATATTAAGAGTTTTGGGTGCCCGAGAGATCAAATAAGCAAAAAAAAAAAAAATGTTTTATTTACTTTCCATAGTATAATATGTGATCTTTATGGGTCCCGAGGCGTAGCCCCCTCTCCTACATAATATGTTGGTCAAGAGTGTTTTTTATTTTTTTTGTGGCGATTCGGAGAATTAAATGTTTTTGTTTAAAGGTATTTCAAACTAATTCGACAATCGTATTTTTTGAATTGTGTCAGTACAGTTGTTTTAGGGGTACGATATGTCATATTGATAATGTACTATATTTCGGTACAAATTTCCGTGCGACTCACCTAGTGACTTTTTGGTGATTTCCCGCATTTTTTAAAAATTTGTCCCGCTTTGTGTCGTGGCCGGCGCAAAAAGAAAAAAAAAACCGAACGTCCGAATGTCGTAAATATTTCACACCGGTTTTAAGTATGATACTCGTACAATAGGCACCACCCCGGCGACCGAATGAGCTTGTTCGACGTTCGTATTTCCGCCGAACACGTTTCGGACGTTTAAATATGATAATATAAAACCGAGTATAATATACATGTCGGTTTTTTTTTTTTTTTATGTCGCGCAACAGCCGACACAATACGATATTATTTAAATAAGCAAGCGGTCACGAAAATAACAAACGATTGGTACGCCACTATAAACAATAAACGATTCGATATTATAGATAATAATATTCACATACATACAGAGTGGGGGGATGTGGGGGGGGGGGTTAGAGGGTCAAAACCCTCTCCTAAATGTCTTCCTTTATTACATTTTTTCAAATCAAGTTTTACATTCAACAGTATAATATCATCTTATACCACAGAATAAAATAAAATTGAATTTCATCAAAAATAATTTATTCGGTAATGATATTATGGTGATAGTATACTAAATTATAATATGTGCTATCCCCTCTACAGAAAATTACTACAAACAAAACCCCTCCCGAAAAAAAATCCTGCGTGCGCTACACTCCATACATATCATTATTATTTATTATTATTACGGTTTTAGTAGTTAAGGTTTTAACCTAACCTGTGTGATATATACGGAGGGTCTATATTATTCTACCAATGCGGTAATCAACGTATTGAATATTACCACGTTTACGTTCAAAACGACAGGTTTTTCTTATAGTTTTCAGCGTGATTTACGATTACGCCAATTACGTATGTGTGGAATCCATCCACAGGTACCCACTGCGTTCTATTTATACCGGTTGTCGTGTATACTACGCAGTGTAATTATGTCGTCGCTATAACAGATTTCGAACACTGCGTTTTCGGCGATAGTGTAAATTATTGTAATTTATTTTACGATATTACGTATAGGTACGCGGTAAATCGTTATCCGTTCCCGTTATTACTTTAAATAATACGCACACACGAGGGTTTGTAAAAAAAAAGTCTAGTCAATAAATGTTTTTTTTTTTTTTTTTTTTATTATTATTTTCCTAAGGACGTTTGATTTACGGGGCCAAATACCGTATACGCTCTTGTTCGATTTTACTAGCGAAGAAAAAAAAACAGCCGCCACCGCCGTCGTAGTCGGTGACAATTATACAAGAGAAAATAACAGAGTATATTATAAAGCACGTGGTGTTGCACACTTTGTGTGTGTGTGCGCGCGTGTGTATGTGTGTAATCGTATAGGGCACCCCTTAATTTGTGTGTACACACGCGGAAAAAAGTCCTTCTTACTCGACCCTCGCCTACTCCACTTACTCCTCGTCACCGCGCACACAAGTGTATTATAATATGTACTTCCCCACCCCCTCCCTCTTTCATCGTTTCTTATTCGATACTTATATACCTATATTTATAGGTACCTATGATATAGTACAGTATACCTATGTACATAATATTATACAAGTGTATGCGGTGGACGTGAAAATCATAAATAAATTACGCGGGAAAATGTATAATCGAAATGGCGTGATACACGCTGCCGTCGCCGTCACTTTCGGAACACAACGAAATTAATAAAAAATTAATATTTTTTCATATCGACCTATAACCACGTTTTATTTTTCCCGACGACAACGGACGCACGTCCACGGTAAAACAATATTATATCGAAAAGACGAAAAACAAAAAAAAAAATGACGACTCAGCGCTGCACTCGTACGCTTGTAACGGCTGAATATTTAGGTGATGGAGAAATGGTCACGGTGAAATGGAAAGTGGATTTTTTTTTTAGAAAAATAACCCTTACGGTAGAACTACAAGTACCCGTTGCCGAAACCAGAGAGAAGACGTCGAGAAAAGATATGGTATCTTATAATATAATAGATCAACATGTGGCATATAATTAGGATTTATCAATGCGCGGAGGATTAGGGTATTATTACGGTATTTTACTTGATAAATGAAATGGAATCAAAATAAATAAATTATGAAGTACTTAAATTTTTACGTTGATCCTTAGTATAATTGGTATATAGAACTTTACTTGAACAAACTCGTGAATAGAACCCATGGGTAATCGTATAAATAACTAACAATAACTAACTGATACTGTATCATTTGTAAAGTTTCTGTATTATTATATTAACTTTTATTATATTCTGACGATTTTTTGGTTATAATATTACAATAAGTTAAACGACAATTTGTGCCAAGTATAAACGCCGCAAATAATAATTATTATTATATAACCCTACTAAGCAAAAATGTCGTATCTTCATTAATATATGCGGCGTTTTTGCTTAGCGTGGTTATTTTACGGCATTTTTACCTAGTATAAATGTGTTTTTCGACCATTTACGGCATTTGATCTAAACCAATATTACTAATAATCGTTTTATAAAATAATATTTCAGACATATTGATCTAAAACGTCTGAATTTTACGATTTGTTTGATGTATATAACTCGTTTTTCAATTTTTTTTGACTTACGGCGTTTTTGCTTAGGCGGGCATTATACCTTATCGGCACATTATCAGGTTTGGACCAACAACACAAGGATAGGTTCTTTTGTTTCGCGAAATGCGTAAAACCTTCTGAAACCTCTTAAAATTAGATTAAGAATAAAATATTAGAATAAGACTGGAGGGGAAAAGTGGTACATTATTAACACGCAACGCGCCATACCGTCACACAAATAATACTCCACTACTCTCCTCCAACTCAAACATAAAAATGGAACATCTCGTCAACGGCTTAGACAGAAATCAAAAATGTCAACACTAAAATTTATTTTAATCAATACTCCATCTACATATATTTATGGACTTTTTAGTATAGGTTATCGTTTGAAAATCAAAAGTAGGTTGTGGTTTTCACCCTCAAAAATAAAGGTGACAAAAAAAAAAAAAAAATAATACAATTATAAAATTGTAGAGCAGTTTGTTTCCTAGAATGTTTCAGAAAACAAATTCCGGAAAAAGTTAATACATTCCGAGATAATGAGTGTACCCACTTAAATGGATCACCTGGTATATTATATTTGTGTAGTGGTCGAGGGCGGCCGCCACCGCCACCCTCGTGTATTGTATGTATTTTATATATTATTATAATATTTGCGTGGGGTCGGGAGCACGACGATTATGACGCGTAAATATAATAATAATAGTGAAAAAAAAAATAAAAAAAATAGGTACTCATCGTGCGATGTATTTCCTCGCCCTCGTGCGTAACTCGTTTACCCTCTATAAAAAAAAAAAAAAACCATCGTCGACGAGTCGCACACGTCGCGGTCGCGCGTCACCGCGGTTCCCGTAGTCGACGCCGGCGTTTACACGCACTGGCCGCACGTGCGTTTCGGGAATCTCCGAACCGTTAAGTCACACGTATCCGTTTACCTAGCGCGTATTTAATATTATTATTTGTTTTATTATTATTATTTTTTAAGTATTTTTTTTTTCACCGCGACACGTCAGAAAACCTCTCGAGGGTAACGATGGACGTGAGCGCGCGCGCGCTCGCCTCGTGCCGTTATCCAAACATCACGTCGCACAAATATATTACGCTGCGGTGGCGGCGGCGTTTACCTATACATAAGATAACACACATACGATATTATCAAATTATCATAATTCAACGTGTGTGAATGTGTGTGTGTGTGTGTGTGTGTATGCGTATAATAATCGTAATAATGCGATTCGCGTTAATGGAAAAGTCAATTTGTGTTTCGGTGTACACACGAGCCCGCCCCTCTCACACGGCACATCCCCGCGGCGAGCGACTAACCCTCGTTGGCGCGCCGTTAGTTTTTCCCCTTTTTTCTTCTGCGGTCGGCGCATATTATAATAATGTTATTATTATATCGGCGGCCAAATGCATAAACGGGTTTTCGTTGGCAATAGTAATCCAACCCCGAACACCGTACGACGGGTACGTTATATGCTATTGCGCGACGTACATACGGATTATAGAGAATCAAACGAGTCGTTTTTTTTTTTTTTTTTTTTTTTTTTTTGTTCACTTTGACGTCAATATTTTCGTATATAAAAGCCGTCGGCAGTAAAATGGCCGTCAAGAGTTTTGGCGCGTACAGGAAGAAGATCCAACAGGCTAATTACCTAAATACCTCTAGTATATTAGATACCTATTCAAATACAGCTGAATATTGTCCGGTATTTGTTCTCGAGCTCAATCCTTTTAAACAAACAACAATTAATCAAAATAATAGAAATTCGATTTTATTTCCCCGTTTCCACCTTTTATTTTTGTATCACAGTAAATCGTTTTTGCCGGTTAAGTTACCTTTTTTTTTAAAGGGGTAATTCTCGTCGCTTGTCTGTAAAAATTAAATAAAATAACAGCAACTCGTTTTTTCATCCGCGTCGTCAAGGTAAACCATAAATTAACAAATAAAAAAAAAAAAAAATTTATTCCGAAAATACCAAAACATAATATGTTAAATAATGCCCAGCGCTTTTATTGAATGCGGAAAAACTGAAATTAATAATAATTAGTTACTAATTTAGTTCTTATTGGACAGGAAAACAAAATAATCGAATTCCGTTTAAAATATAAAAGTATCAAAATAACACCGAAATTTCGTAATACAGACTTTGCAAACAGGCGACATCAAATTTTGTATATTACTTTTCGGATATCTGAAACAAATTAATTGCTTCCTACCTAGGACTTATCAAAAAAAAAAAATGTATATATGTATAAATGCTACAATAGTTACGAAGGCTGGTGGTATAATAATTAAAAATATAATACGATTTATCTATTCAAATAATCTATTTTCAAAATATTGACATTTCAGTGTAGATTTTTTTTTTGAAATTTTACATGCATTTCTTAGGTAAATCGTATTTTTGTGGAATTCCCAATACATTCCTATAGCTGCTCTTTAGGAACTGGGGAATTTTAAATACTTTTGAAGCTGTTTTCCGGGAGTGACGAGAAGACATTTTAAGTATTTTTTTCAATTCGTTACACCATTTAAACAGTTTAAATATTTGACGGTTTGTACAAAGTTTAAACGGAACGTGCACACGATATTATTATTCTACCTTGAATTGTCTTTATTAATCATTTTATGAAATTATTATACTGATATTATACTGACCGGTATGGATGTACGTGTGCTTCTTCATGTCGGACTTTTGGTGAAACCGTTTGCCGCAAAACTGGCACGGGTACGGTCTCGTGTCCGAGTGGATCAACAGGTGCGTGGACAGCGTGGAAGACCTTTTGAACGTTTTGCCACACAGATTACACTGTAGAGGAAAAAATAAAAAAAAAACCAAAATAAAATACCGCTTTTTTTTAGAATTTTTTTTTTAAGCCCTTTAAGCGTTTTTAGCGACAAAAATAAGCTAATATTATAATATTATAGTATTTTATGAAAAATTCAAGTTTTCTTTTAGCTTGAATTACCATAAAAAAAAATATAATGAATTATGACCGTATTGTTACCGTTATTACTGTATATTTGTACGATTATTTAGAAAACTACAAGGCTACATTAACTGCGCGTGATTTTCGTTCGGAAAATATGCTATACTCGTGGAAGTAAATCCGAAAGAGGTTCCCGGGTAGAAAAGTAGACAAGACAATGAATACGCAGTTTATACATTTTTTTTAAACAACATACGTAACAACGATACCCTCCCCTCCCCCCAAAAAAAGCAAAGCTTCTGGTCGGGGCACATCATATAACAGTTCGCTTTATTACATATTAGGTATTACAATATTATTATTGTGCGCCCGGACATTATTATATACAAAATAATGGCTTGTGTATCGTGTCACCCGCATACCGGTACTTATCGTCAATTTCCCCCTTCACTGTCCCTCTCCTCTCCCCCCGGCTGCGGTTTTAATGTACGACCGCTTTTATACAACACAATGTCTTTGTACTACATACACGATTTCCCGACAGATGAATATTATATTATGCAGTAAACGATAGTGGTATATAAACAAAAATTAAAAAAAAAAACCAGGTTTTCATATTATAGCAACGCTGATAATAATAATATGCAACTCGACCACCTGTACCTATGATAATAATTATTAGGTAGGCACTATAAAGTATAAAACGCGTTTTCGAGCGGCGCGAAATCGGCCCGTGCCAAATGTAGCACGTGTTGTTACATAGATTGGGTATGCGAAATTTATTATCGTTCCGCCGTGTCAACGGTGAGAATATTTCCAGACGATGCACCGATATTATAATAATTTATGTACACGAGAAACCGCGAAAAAATTTCGTAAAGTTCGTAAAGTTGAAAAAAAAAATACAAATTCGCTTCGAAATTAATCACTTAATAGTGGTCTCGAACACTCTTCGCAACGTTATTTTTCACAAGTCAAAAACAACGTTTTAATAAAATATTATAAAGCTGGATTTCAATGCACATAGCATTGTTCTGGCAAAGACTGCAGCGTATCGGGTATTTTACTTTTAACGAGATAAATATAAAGCATTTTATTTGGGCAATTCGAGATGTTATTTTCTTCATATTTTAGAGCACTTTAGGGGTTTTGAATCTAAAATTCAGATTTTAGGATTGAAAAACTATTAAAGTATTCGTGCATTACAAACTTAATCAAACGAAAGTCTTTTTTTTCATTGTTTAGGAAATTACTTAAGATTTTTAGAACAAAAGTATTTTTTTTTTTTGTGCCATTTTTAGGGTTAACGTTATATCCCTGGCCCTAATCTAGATTTAATATAGGTTGCTATTTGAAAATCAAAAGTAATAAGTGGTTTTACCTCTAAAAATAAAGGTGGTAAAAAAAACATAAATATAAAATTGTAGAGCAGCTTTTTTTTTTAATTATCCTAGGAAATATATTCCGTAAAAAATTAATACTTCCGAGATAACGAGTGGCTTGTGATAAATTGATAACTCTGAATTATATGGATTTCAATTTACTATGTATAACGAGACGGTATAGATAAATACGACGATATATCACGAAAAAAAGTCGTATTTTTACAGTACGTCTGGCTCGTGGAAAACCGCACCGAACTGAAACACGATTATCGTTTCGGGTAATATTATCAATGACTGTACGACTGCAGCAGTCGACTGTAATTAGCCCTCGTTTAATTTTACGGCTCTCGCTTATTGTTATAATACAGTAAACGCATAATATAAAAACACCGTATTTCAGTGATCATGTTAAATAGCCATCGTAAATCGCATGCCATCGTCGAAATTATTTATACGATTTTGTACTTTATAATATCTATACTGAAGAAGGGCCGTAAAGAAAAAAAATGTATATTTAATAATTGAACGACAATATCTATATATTGTGTCTAAACCATCGAGTTTTGGCCATGCAGTGTTTACGGTCAACGGTTTACTAAATTGTTTGCTATAGGTACTTACGCTGTTATACAGTATCGTCAAAACTGGTGGCGTAGCAAGAATTTCGAAATGATGGGGGGAGAGAGTAAACAATTTTTGAAAAAATTCTCACCAATTAACCGTAATAGTTTATATTTTATAACGATAATTGTTTAAACTCAAATAAAAATAGTTTTATGTAAACACTTAATGTTACGACCGCGTGTGATTATTATCATAATGGCGTTCCGGCGAACTTCATTAATACGATCGCGAATTCATCGATACAGAGAACGGCCCGTTTTCGTGGGATTAAATAGAAAAAAACAAAACCATTTTCAAACGTCCCGAACGGTAAAAAAAAAAAAAAAAACAAAAAACAAAGAAAAAGTATAAATATGTCAGACGACGATATATTACTATACGGTGTATACGAACACGAAGAAAATATTATAACCTATACGGGGCAATAATACTAATAAATAATAGACTATACGCGCCGTTATATTCTTTTTGTGAAACGGGTTAATTCGGTGACCCTTTCTTAAGACACGACGCGTTTATTGCGTCGAATTAATAACAGCGTGTCGTTTACGGGCTCAGCTCCTGCAAGACACGGCCGGTTTTTAAGTGGGCTAATTATATATATATATATATATGTATACATCCCAATTGTTTGAGTATAATTAATGCGCGGCAGCGTGTTTCATATAATTAATAATACTCATATTATATATTATTATAATATATGGTTTTCGGTTTGGACGCGTTGAAACGTAATTTTAATGACTTGCGTATATGTTGCTATCCGCTTTTGCTGACCAAAAAGGTCGACAAAAAGTTAAAACATTACCTATGCCATCATAATAATACGCGAACGAGTATCGGATTTACGAGTAAATATAAAGAGGTGTACATTCTTATCCGCGCATTGCCGCCCTATATTGCACAGGTTTAAATTTTAAATAACCAAAAAAAATTAACAATTGTATATGCGGTCGTTTCTTGTATAATATACGGTATGCGGTCGTGCGGGGAATAAGTGGGTAATATTTAGAAAATATATTCTAAAAACAAGAACATAATATACGATTCTTACTGGTATAATATTATTATAATGATCAGAAAAGAAACTAAAACCAAATATATCCGATCAAAACCTATTTACGAAATATAAACTACGTACAAATTCACAAAAATAATAGGCCTAGCTCAAAAATCGTCAAAATATATTGAAAATTTCACCACGTCTAAAAAAAGAAAAATATATGTTTTTCACCAAAATACGAAGTCTCTACGGATATTTTTAATTGAGTTATAGAAAAAAAACTTGTCTGTTCTTACTACGTTTTTTCCCGATTGTTTCCAATATTATTATGAAAACGACTTTGAAAATCAAAAAAAAAAAAAAACATTTTCCGATTGTAGCGATATTTCTGGTGAAAAACACGTAAAACGTAAACATCTTTTAAAAAACTAAATTATAATCGTTGCCTTCCAACACTATTGTAATTATTGGTAATTAACGATATTTGTATTTCATGCAAAACATTCAAAACCGCTGTTTTTAATACAATTTAATGTTTTAACGTATTATAAAATACGTTATACGTTATTATGATTATCAGATACAAGATTCGATGGCCGTAAAAACGGTTAAAAAAAAAAAAATGACAATTTGTCGCCGTGTAGTGTGTACTGTATTATATTACGTTAAAAATAAATTCACCTAATTTACCATTGTAAAAGTCCATCAATAAGTTAGCGTAATACAGAATGTATTTCCCGTTCCTGTATAATTGCAATTTGTCGCAGCGTCAAACGAAACCGACCGCGGAATTCTGACGAGCAAAACACGATAATGATAGTGTGCGTGTGTGTGTTTTTTTTTTTTTTTTTAATGCTCGTGAGATATTCGCACGGTCTTCCGGCGACGACACACGATAATATAATAATAATAAAATGGATAATAACATTGTTAGGATGATGTCACGAAACCGTTGGCAACAAATGGCGATACAATTATTGTAAACTGCTACCGCCCGCACCGCAGATAACAATATTATTTCAACCGAGAAAAATACGTCCGGGATAACCTCGCGAAATACCCGCGGTTCGTCGTGCGGGCGTCGGAGGCAAAATCTAGTCCAGCGGAGTGCGGACATGGGTACAGATTAGGGGTCATAGTTCTCCCCCCTCAATCGACTTCAATGCGTAAATACAACAACTATACCTATACGGGTGTTTGTTTAATAGGCATTATAATTTTATCTTGAAATGTGGTTTATTTTTCAACCAAGTTTTTTGAGGAAAAAAAGCTCGATTTAAAATTTGAATTCCACAAGCCAACCTCCTCGTAGTGCGTAATTCAAATAGTTCGCAGAAGTAAAAATTAATTTTATCTCGATTCTATACAACACGCAGGGATTCAAACTTATCACTTTGTTTTTCATGGATGGGATCCCCGCTTTACCTACCTATAGAAATGTTTAATGGGACTCCGGTTAATCTGAATTCACGCCTTTCAATTAGGCGATTTGGAAATTTTTAATTCGGATACATTAGCACATCGTCGTGAAACGTACTTCGTCTCGTCGGTTTAGATATTTTAGTAAAAACTGAAATATTGTATGCGTATAATAATAATCATAAAACGTGAAAACAACAATTGCATTATAATTATGTACAAAAATCAGCGCGAGTGATGTGTACTGCTGAGTGAAATAAAACTATTGTAGTGTATAAAAAAAAAGTAGAAAAAATAAGAGAAATTATATACGTGATTTTTTTTTTTGTGTGTGCGTTAAGTAAAATAAAAATTTATGAAAAAAAATAGCGTGCTGTGTTAAATATATTTGTCTGTGTTTTATATGTTCATATATTATATATACCTGGAAAGACCTTTCTACTCCCAACACGTTATTGTCGGTAAAAGTTTTCGGGACAACGGGCGACAGTACGGGCGACATTTCTTTTTCGCACAGACTTCCGGGCGACCAAATTTCTTGACTCCGTTTTTTGATGCACAAGTTCAACGGCGATTCAGACACTTCATCTGAAATATTTGCAGTCGGTTTTTCATAATATATACAAAATTATATTCACACGATGTATGTTAGGTATAGGCGTAGGTATATATATATATATATATATAGGAATCGGAAATGTCATCAAAAAATATTACTATAATATTTTTTTAACCTGTTCCGATTATCACCATACAGTTTATAATATCTACGTATGTATGTATTTAATTTTTTCAACAGCAGGTAATATAATATTATAATATCTACTGAAATAATATTGTTATCGAACATGAAACTGCGGGCTCCCCGATTGTTTGAGGGAAACTCACCCTCCCTTCGCCCCGCGACGTATTTAATTTACCACGCGATAAATCGACGAGCCTATAATCGATTTATGGCGAAATCTGGATGGCCGAAACGTCGGTTTTATCGATGCCGTATACGTTTTACGCCAAAAACACGTAATATGTCGTCGTTTTCGATCAACACGCCGATTATTATTAATTTTTTTTTTTTTTTAATTGCTTTTGCCACCGTCAACTGGAAAAAACGTTCGGCGGAAACGGCATTGTTACTAAACCGCGTACAATCGTTTTCTCGTGTTTTCCGGGCGCATAGGGACGGTAAATATTGTAACGCGCCGACGATTTTTTTTTTTTTTTTTTTTCATTTTTTCCAATGCACAACAGTCGCAACAACAATAATATTGCGCGGACGAGACGTCGCGGTAAGGGCAAACAATATGATTTCACAATTGCAGGTGTCGCGTTGTCGCCGTATCACACAACAACCGGGCACTGTATCTTCGAGCCGTCGGCTATATTGGGTGTAACACACGTACCGCACACGCCACGGCCGCCGTCCGAGCGAGTTACCTACATAATTCATAATGCGGCGCAATAATGACATAAACGCTGAAACAATAAACGTTCGTTGCGGACGGTAATGCAGCCGCCGCGTTATTATCGTCGTCTCTATTACGCGATCAATCGCGCTGCGGTTGTAGCGCGACTTTATTATTCCGGCGACTTTTCCGATTTCCCCCGTGTGCGTTTTTCGCGGTTTTTCCCGAATACAATTTGGAAAAACTAAAAGGGAAATCAAAAGGTGGACATTTTTTTAAGTGCAGCGCCAACTAGATCCGAAATGCTACGGTGAAACCCGTATGCCGTTGTCGGTTTGGAGCGAGGTTTCCGGTAGAAAAGTTGCGTACACACGCGTAAAAAAAAAAAAATAATAATAATAATAATAAAACGAAAAAACAAATACACCATTACAGTGAAACGTTACACTCGGAATCTAAAACAATATTTCAGACGCCGCCCGAAGAATATTATGCAGTATCGCTGCAGTGTTCAAGCGTCTGTATACATTATCGGGATATCGGGTGTTCGACGGGGCAGTGCACAACATTACTATACATAAATACGTAATGTATGTAAAATACGCACTGCGCTAGTGGTAAAAACCATACAAAAATGTAAATAACAACAATATAATATTCCCCTGTAACGGGTATTATAATAATAATGGTCAAAAACAACCACTATAATATTATAACGGTGGGACAAACCGTGTTGGCAATAAGTCACGACCAGTGGACTCGATATTATATAATAATATACTCGTACGTTTTATACACGGGAACGCAAAATTATACCATTAGTATTATAATATTCTGTCGTTATATAGTTGGTTTGAGACTAAAAAACATAATGATGCGTGGTTTTAAAATTGAATTGTGTATACATACCTATACTATTCATGTTGCCTATGCACGGGTGTACTTATTGTTTATATTATAATAACAGTTAACGGTTTGTTTAAATGACTCGATGAACTGTCCCAGTACACTGTAAATTAACATTAAATAAAGATATTTTTACGGGGAAATAAAAATTGCATACTAAATATTTTTTTTTACCTTTTCGTGTTTTGTTTAATGTTGATCAATGATGATTATTAAAAGTCAGTATTTACATTTTTTTGTGACACCGACAGTAAAATGTCATGTATAATATAATAATAATATTTATGAAAACTATATAGGTAAAATGAGAAAATTGAATATTACGGATTTTACAGGTAGGTATATAAAATCTGAGATTTATAACAAAATCATTAATGTAATTATTCGGTAATTATATGCGAATTTAGACTATACATTTTAGAGTAGCTCACGAAATTACACGATTCTTTTGTATTTATATGTTTTAGCAGAAATATCGCTTACTATAATATAGTTGTTAGTAAAAAGTCATCTTGTAAACGACCCTGTACGGTAATTTCTTAATAATATTATGAAGCGTCAATTGTTACAATAAAAAATGCATCTATGCATATAAATTACAGATATTTTACTATTTCTTCCAGTGTTGGATATAAACAAACTCCAATTATTATATACCAATATTTGTTTTAATATTATTCGAAAAAAAAAACAAAAAAATCGATAATCCACTTGGTGCACAATATTATATAGGTATTGTAGAACACAATAAGTGTCATACATATGGGGGAGATCATTATATATATATATATATATATATATGTATTTTTTTTTCCTATTGTGCATATTAAAAAAATAAGTTCAAATTATATGTCAATTTAAAACGAATTAACTGTACGCCGTCGTCGCGGCATATACAAGGGACACGCGATTTGTCGCGAACTATAATTTACACTGTGTAGACAAGTCTCAGTTTTACATTATTAATATTTGTTCTTATATATATAGATACGTGCCATGTACCTATATAAAATAAATTTCCACGCAGTGCTTGTAAATTTCTTTTTAACAGTACTACACGAGCGGGCGAGGGTTGTACCGCGAATAAGGCATACCTAAATCGTATATAAGTACAATCAATCGGTGAAAATACGAAAAAGATTCTTTTTTAAACGTTTCAATATAATAAGTAAATAATAATACCAGTATAAAATCGACGAAACGAGCAATATAATGTGTGAACGTTCAAAACGAAGAACACTCGCTGGAGTACAGCCTATATGCACGATATGATTACTAAATATGTTTATTTACGTGTAGGCATATACAAATGGACAGACCTCTGTCAATTTGTTTACCAATCGAGAAATATTTGAAGATGATTGACAAGAGGCGAAAGATGAACGTACCTAACCGCGAGGGTTATGTATTTCATAAATCAGCATTAAACAAATAAAAATAAAAACTGAAATTCTTCGCACTATTGTAGGTGAGACGTTTTATTCATATAATTTTATCCACAGAGTATCTACCGAATAAATATTACGTAAAAAACTCGCAAAATTAAAATGTCTTAAAAATGGATCAAATGTGTTAAAATGTTTACCATGTCTATAAAAGGTAAATATGAGGTTTCTGTTAAAATGTCAAGAATTTATGAATACTATTCACTGAATTATAATAAAAGCATTATTTTCGTAAATTTTCCTTTTTATTTAGAAAACCCATAAGAAAATCAAAAAATTACCTCCCTAAAGTACCACCCCAGGTAAATCCCCTTTCAGAAAAAGTATTACACTTGAAAATCAGAACAAGTTTTTGGTAGAATTTTTGTAAGCAGTATAAAAAAAAAAAAAAAAAAAATAAATAAAAACCAAATAATAGACTTCATAGTAAAATTCACTGTAGGCATAATATATATACGTACGGTTCTTATCTAAAAATTGCACGAGTTATTTGTAAATGCTTCCTAACTCAAAAATTACGTCGTTTTTTTCATTTCGGAAAATATGGATATAGAGTGGACAAACAAGAGTGCGGATAAACGGTATAAACAACTAATGACAAAAATAGTTTTTAATTTTTTTTTTTACTAGGGACAAACTTAGAAAATTACCATCCACTCGTCCACATATATTACACGCATTGGTGCAATACTGTGGTATTACACTAATAATTGAGGGATCTATAATTTATCAGAGTACGATTTCAGAAATATCAAATTATTCAATACACACTAAATACAAAGTTGCCAAACAATATTTATGAAAAATATATATTACTCATTTAATTTAAAAAATAACCTATGTTTGTTACAATATAACAAACAAACAATAAAAAAAAAAAAAAAAAGCATTAAACATTTAGAATTTAGAACCGTGTATATTTCTATGCAAATTAACGTTTAAGTGTATTTAAGAGAAGACCAAGGTCTGGACGTATAAAACGCATCAATAGTTGTATATCATTATTTATATGTATGTCAGGTTCATAAACTCGGTATCAACTAGGTATAAACTAGGTCATTAGTCACTATATAGTTTCATAAGTTAATCCGTACGTTACTACATTAATCACCAAGTAAGTACTTGCTACCTACCAGCTACGAAGTACCCACTATTTACACACTTATTTACTCTCAAATTATTTCAGAGGGCATTTGCCTCCACTATTCCCAGAAATCTGTGCCACTTGATATTTCATTATTATATTATAATTAGAGATAGGATGTTGATGATTTGCATTTTTTCCCCCTTTTATATTATACAATGCTACCTTAATTGAAAATTCGTTTCGTGCTTCGTAAATTCAGTATATTATATACATTTTATTTTGCATTTTAGATTCTGAGCGAAACGAGGAATATTTTATTGGTTTTACAATGATGTTTAATTTTTTTTTTTTTTCGTTTATACTGTGTACAAAAATTCTACCAGTGAAACCTTGCTCCGATGTATTAAGTGTAGCATCTTTTTTAAAAGGGAAATTTATTTAGTTGGTACTTTAGAGAAGTCATTTTTTTGATTTTCCAAGCAATTTTCATAATAATTGTGAAAAACCGGGAAAAAGTCTGGGAAAAAAAGAAAAATTAACGAAAATAATATTTTTATTATTTCAAATTGGCTTTTTTGTTGTTATCCAGTTCAAAATGTTTGTAATAACTCAAAATTTCGGAGAAATACTTAAATTTTACTTTTCTAGACGTCTAAAATTTTCGAAATATTTGTTCTTATTTTTTTGTAGTTATTTTTAAGCTCTTTATAGACAAATATTTTGTGAGATTTTTGCGTAATTTTTATACGGTAGGTTATGGATAAAATTGTCAGATCAAACAAAAATACATACAAATTTAACAGGAAGTTCATTATAAGTTGTACTTAGTGGTCAACAAAAGTTGAGTTTAATGTATGTAGTATTTTTTTTTATAAGAATTACAATGTCAAATTTTGATGAAAATCATAAATATTACGGCCTTTCAAATGGTCATGTATAAATGAACTTTGTTCCAAATCGTTTTTTATTAGCAACAGTTTATTCAGTTAAATTAAATAGCTTTATGTATCCTACCTTCCCAAGTTCCAACATACAACAATAGTGCATCCATCAGCAGTATCAGCTGTGTTTTTCTTTTGATTTTTCGTACTTTTTTAGAGGTCAACATCCAATTTCTAATTATAGATATCGAGTTTCAATAAGAAATTCGTTTGAAATCGATTTTTGAAAAAATGAATTCCGTTTTATATATCAATAAAACGAATAAAACGTTGTATGTATCGTTCCCTCTCACACACCCAAAGTTTATACAGGAATTCAAAAACTTACCGAACTTGGCCTTTTCGGGCGTCCGGCCGGCCGCGTCCACGCTGGCCCTGTCCGGCGAGAACTGTTGTTGGAGACGTAGTTGCAGCTGTTGTTGCTGTAGTAGCTGTTGCTGTTGCTGTTGTTGATGGTGCAGTTGCTGGCTCGTGCCGAGCGGGTGATGGCTGCTGGCCGCGGCCGCGGCGGTCAGCGGAGAATACGGCAACATAAGCGGCCACAGGTACGGCGGCATCGGCATGAATCCGTACGGCATCTGCAGCTGGCCGGCCGCCGAAAACGACATTTCGGGACCGGGTACGTCGGCGACCGCTGACCGGACCGGACAGAACGCGCTGTTCCGGTGGGACCATCGCACTCTCGTGCCGGCTGTTGGCGACATGGACGCGCCGCCGACCGCTTGCGGGGACGGCGTGCTGCTGCTCGAAGAACGCTCCAGCTTCATAGACGATCGCACACTCTCGTGATATTATTATAATAATGTATAATATACAAATGCCTATGCGCGTGCACAGTGATGCTGCGTGTGTTTCAATGACCCCGATTCGAATCCGGCCGTTGCCGTTGTTTTCGTAGGCAGCTCGGCTTAATATAATAATGGTATTTATTATTATAATATGAAGGCGGGATCGACTAAAAAAAAAAAAAAAAAACAAACGATCGCGATGACCGCACATTATATTAAACGGGTAAAATTAGAAGCGAAATAGGATTAGAAATTGTCACTTGTATAATTATGCAATATAATTCATTGAACATAATAACTTTTTTATGGAAGACAGGCGAGTGTCAAGGTCATCAGATCCCCAAATCCCCCCTCCGTGTATATCAATATGCCCTCGATTTTAACAATAAAGATACAATAAAAAAATATAATAAAAACAAGTATGTATAATGTCCAAACTGTTATAACCACTGATATTATTATAACCTCTTATCGGGGAAATTTGAATAGGTATAAAAACTACAAGTTCAAAATAAAATTATACTGGAATTAATAAATATCGAGAATTATAACGCGTAAAAAAAAAAAAAAAAAAAATAGCAATCGGTGACGTATTTAGAGACAGAGTCCCCCCCCTCCCATTGGTTCCTGTATATTTTACACAATAATACCTACCTGCTCTTATTGTATAGAATGTACAATTGATGTGTGTGTTTTATCAATTACCCCCCCCTCGAGCCTTAAGATAATTCAAGCTACGCCACTCACAGTAATTAGTATTTAATTTAAATTAAATTCGCATCATAAACTATAACTATAACATTTGTTCAATATTTGTATACTGTACTAGTAGTATTAATTTGTATGTTTTATCTCGTAGCAAAACGCCAAATGAAATCGTAAAATTTGACCTCTTTGATTTGGCCGAATTTTTAAAAATATTTATTATTGATAATAATATTTAAATTTTTTCGGTTTTATCTGCATAAAACGTCAGCGTTTTGCCGCTTTAAAAGTGGCCAAATCGGAGAGACCGAATTTGTCGGTTTCCTTGGACGTTTTGCTGTGGGATAGAAAACATAAATTAATACTACTTAGGAATATATATTTTATTTCAAACCGAGTAGGTACTTCCGTCAATGATGGCGGTTAAATAATTTTGATGAGAGGAGGCTGACCTTCAGTATTTTTTAGCGTGTAATATTATATATTTACATTCGTATACATCTCCTCGTCCCCATAATTTTACCACCCCTCGACTTCCCAATATATATACATAAACATTTTTAAACTATCCATACTATAATATAGGTATGTGTTTAATCGCTATCAAGTAGTGAAATGTTTGTAAAATGTATAAAAAAATATACATCGAGACGTATTGATTCATTTACTGCAATAAATAATACATACTATTCGTTTATTCATGCACACACAGACACACACATTGTATAAATGTATCAATTATTTATTTAAGTATAAGAACGCGGTACGGGATAATTATACCTACATGCGTGCAATGCAATTGAATATAATATTGTAGAAAAGTATATAGGTAATGTAATATCGTACAGACGAATAAAAACCTTTAACGAATTTATTAAACAGTCAATTTTTTTCTTCTTCCACTTTTACGCCGTTTAATTTTTTGAGTTAATAAGTAACGCGGGATTCCAATATAACAATGTATTATAGTATTTTGATATATAGTGTTTTTTTTGTTAAACGTAATCCCAGGGTCGTTTTTGATCTCTTTGAGACCCTGGGCAGTTGTATAATGGGGTTTCTACGACTAGGATGGAGTACTTTTTTATTAAAACAGGCAAACAGGGTGGTGGTAGATAAGATCTTCTTTATCAGAAGATAAGACATAATAATGTATACCAAAATATACCATTCTCTAAGAATTTTAGATAGTAACACGACATTAATATTTCATATTTTCTTTTTTTTAATTTGGTTCATTAACATTGGCAGCCGCGAATTCGACATGCCTGATCTAAGGTTATTCGATTTTTTTTGTAATAGGTTTAAAATATAAGCATGAGCAAGTATTTGTCGTCGGTAATTTTCTTTGATTTTTCGCGAAATAAATTTATTTATCGGTAATAAATATCGGTTATCGGTCTGTGATCTGGCAGAAATTAGGGGGCCCTGAGCACGTGTCTAAAATGTCTAATGGGAAAGAGGTGTGTGCATAATCCAACGATTGCCACCTACGAAGATACAAAGATTTATAAGTACATTATATTTTGGTTTATAGTGTTTTTTTTTCGTAAAATGTTTCCTTTATTCCTTATGCATCATTATATAAACTTTTTATTTATAAATATATAGCGATACCAATATATTTTTCAAATTTCGATTGAAACAAAGAATATATAATTACACACTTTTCTAAAAATGATTAATTGCATCATACACGTGTAGTAAATACTGATTAAAAATTCATACTAGAAGATACTATAGGGAAAGGGTAAAAATTTCATTCTAGGTGTTCAGTTTCAGATAATAACCGCGTTATTATCACTCTCTCAGCCTTACACTCTCTCAGCCTACAATTTAATTTGTTATAAGTTTCCAACTCATAAAAAGGTATAATATATACTTACAATAAGTATATTATCAGAAATTTTTATCCGATAACATTTTCAGAAAATCTTTCTCTTTTCGAATTTAATTGCTGTATCGTTATAAATAAATATATTTTGAAAATCATATATCATCGGTGCCAAGGCTCAAGACAATTTTTATTTTATTTTTTTGTACACATATAATATATAATTATATCCTTTGATTGTTTGGTCTAAGCGGCATAAGTGTATTTATTTTCAAAATTTAATTGGCTTCTATTTAAAACTATACAAATATTGACTTAAATCCTTTTCCCTCGCAGAATGATCATTTAATGTTTTTGTGTGCACCCTACAAAATGACTGAAAAAACCTGTAAAATCAAATGTATGCCGATAATAGGTACTCAAAATCTTCGCCGGTTCACGCGATAAAATAATCACTCTGTATACGTACCGCGATTATGGGTTTATTAGGTACATGTATGTTATATTTTTTTAATATTATGTCTATATGAGGTGTATTATATAGCGTGTATTTGTGTTTGTGTGTGCGTGTCGTGTGTATGTATCTAAATACGAACGTATATAAAATTAAAAAATACAGAGTAGGCACCTCTTCAAATATTCACTAATTACCCCGTGGCGTGACATTACAATCCCAAAGTCATTCGTCAATGGGTTTCATCGATTTTTTAATTATTATATACATATCGCCGTGTATATTATTCACGCGCGAACCGCAGCTGCAGAAGACGCATTATGAGTAAAAAAAAAAAAAAACTAACCAAAGAGAAAATACAACCATAGATATACCTTATATCTATGTAATTCATTGGTGCATTTTAGGGGTGTACGACAGGGGTAATTGCTCGTCCCCTCTCCCGAGTTTTTTACAGAGATAAATTAGTAATACAAATATGTGAATATAAAGATGAATAATAATTTAATTTTTAATATATTTTCAACTAAAATTCTTGCTCCAAACATCAACACTGGAGGTGTATTTTGATGGAAAATTTCCGATAGAAATTTAAATAGTAACATCACATTTTAAAACAAAGTCCAATAATAAAATATTATAAAATGTAATTGTTGAGTTTTTAAATGTATAAATGTAAATATATTATCATTCTGATTAAACACATCTGAATTTTAGAAGAAACCATTATATATAACTATTATATTATATTTTAATTAATAATATTATTAAAAATTAAAAAATAACAGAATACTATACTGTATTGTTTTTTGTGTAAAATACATTTCGATTATTTATAGATCAATTTTTTATACTACGATGTAAAGTTGGGCAAGTTTACTAGTCATGCAGTTTTATAGTAACTAATATAAGTTACAATATAATATGTTTACAGGGCAGATATACTCCATTTAAGATTCATATTATAATACAAGAATAAAGTTGGAAGTTTGAAAATTAAATAATGATTACAAAAACAAAAGTCCTAGAAATTAGGTAGGTATTTAAAATCCTCAGAGAAAATCGCTGGATTGTGATAAAAGAATAGCGCGTTCTTCTTCGGAGAAAAAGTTATATATTAATATTGTTATTTACCGTAATATTATTTAATATTTTATACTGTATAAATTAGTTTAAAAGTGGTGTAAACTATTATAACCCCATATCAATTTGGTAAATTATGAACCTGCATAATATCAACAAAAAAAAAAAGTTCAAAATAATATTTAAATAATACATTTCGTACATTTTCCCTTTTTTCCTAAGTTTTTTGCGGTTTTTCTCATTTATTATGAAAATTCCTGGAAAAATAATAATTGATATCCTTAAAGTACCACCCTAGTCATATTTTCTTTCGGAAAAAATGCTACACTTAAAATCGGAATACAATTTCTGATAAAATGTTGTTCATAGATAAAAATAATAATAATAATAATAATAGACATCATTACAAAACCAGTACATCCCTTATTCCCTTCAGAATCTAAAAATGTAACCTGCAGTCGTTAATAATCAGTAATATTATTAATAATAAAAAATCTACCTAAAAAATCTAACATATAATGAATATAGTTACAATATAATATAATTTAGATACTTATAGAGGAAAAAAAAGTTGTTCGGTTTTTTTATTATAATAATTTCTGCCACTATCGCCATCATAATTTATTAATAAACGCGATATAATTCGATTTGCATACGACTCGATCTAACCGTCCAGAAACATTTAATATAAATCAGGTTAGAGAGTCTATTCTGCAGCGTTGCAGATGAGACAAGCATATTTTGCACGCGTATCTTATACGCTATACTAAGGTACCTATAAGAAATTATGGTTGAGAAAATAATAATGTAAACTCATCACCAATGTAATGAGGAGGCAGCTGGAGATAATATTTGTCACTGCGGCCTTTATAATTTTTGTTATTAAATAAAAATATTCTCGTA